GGTAATATTTGCGAAGTGTTTAAACCAGAAAAACTTAGATTTTCATATATCTTTCTACTTGACCTTTAATCTGACCTATATTTTCCAAATAATTTAACAGGTTAAAGTTTAAGGAGCAGCTCTATTACCAAGTAACTATAAGCTCTATCTGGAACAAATTTGCATGGATAATCCATCTAGGGATAGGCACGTACTGACCTGCTGCTTCGGATACCGGATCTGACCATCATTATTTTCCAGATGAGTGACCAGGTTCAAGTTTAGGAGTAGGTCCATTAGGCATTACCATGTAACTATAAGCTCTATTTGGACCAAACATGCATGAATGATGTATCTAAGAATGTATACTATCAAACTTGCTTCGATGCTGGATCTGACCTACATTTTCCAGAAGAGTAAATTTAGCCATATTAACCAAGTTAACTTATGGATGGTGTATATAATGATGGGGATTTATAGACCAGCTTTGGATGCCGAGTTTGACATATATTTTTTTTTAGCTTTTGGACTAGCTTTATATTTATGCCCCTGGATCAAGAGATCCTGGGGGTATATTGTTTTTGTCCTGTCTGTCTGTTTGTCTAGATGTCTGTCTGCATGTTGTCAACGTGACGAAAATTGACTCCCGACTCTGTAATCAATCAATGCTCGTGTTACTTTAAAGCTATCTTGGAAATAAATTTATCTATATAAAGCATTGTGTTTTATAGACGAAGTACAAGAAGGTCAAAATCTGACCTAAGTCTATTTCAATCTCATAATGATGATAATATTAAACTTAAAGGAGTTTATGATTTAAACAAGTATCAATTTTCAGTTAATCCCTGTAATATCATTATGTAGACCTGAAATAAGATAAAAACATTATTCTCCAGCAGGTATAGCCATTTTGTTTCTGCCACCGTTTGTCTTTTCACATTAATCGTTATGACTTAGTGCTTCGTGATGCTATGCCAAAACAATACATTTTCACAATACTGTCTTACTATAGTATTAGTTATAATTTGGACTTAATGTTGAATTCGCCAATTTCATACTTGCAAAGTTGTGTGCATCACGATAACAATCGCCACTACAGGTTCTTTCGTTATTTCTAACCAAAGAAAATTGTCCTTACTTTCTTATAAAACTGTTGCAACATATTACCCATAATGCAATATAATTGCACGCATCACTAGATTGTAGAACACACATCACAAGATTTCGAATATACATCACAAGTTTATTGAACATACATCACAAGATTTCGAATATACATCACAAGTTTATCGAATATACATCACAAGATTATCAAATAAACATCACAAGATTATTGAACATACATCACAAGATTTCGAATATACATCACGAGATATTGAATATAAATCACAAGATATTGAACATATATCACAAAATTATGGAATATACATCTCAAGATTTCAAGTATACATCACAAGATATTGAACATGCATCACAAGATATTGAATATACATCACAAGATTATAGAAAATACATCACAAAATTATGGAATATACATCACAAGATTTCGAATATACATCACAAGATATTGAACATACATCACAAGATTATAGAATATACATCACAAGATTTCGAATATACATCACAAGATATTGAACATACATCACAAGATATTGAATATACATCACAAGATTTCGAACATACATCACAAGATTTTGAATATACATCACAAGTTTATCGAATATAGCAACGTTTGACATGCCATATAACTTATTAACAACAACAAATTATAAGAAAAGAATCAACTACATGTACAATTTATCAATAACCAATTTTATAATCCTACCTCTACAAGTGAGCTGCAGACCGGATGGCTAAACGAACAATTCTGTTGTTTCCCGACACAGTCTGCAACTATCCGAAAACACACATACTAAAAAGTCACCGAAATACCCTTTATTATTCAATCTAAAATCACCAAGACACAATACAAAGTCACTGAGACACTAAGGAAGTAGATCCTTGAGCTTAATGGTCTAACTGACAATTCCATTTGTCCCGACACAGCCCAAGAATCTAGCCCAAAAGATGTCACTCCAGCAATGAGCATCGGCCTGAAAAGCGGTTACACATCGAATTCATCTGAAAAATGAATCTGTTTGAAAGGATATCTTTCAAAGCTAATTGTGATCAGTTTAATGTTTTGAAATTTGGTATTCGATAGAACTGACATTTGATATTGAAAAGGCACTAGAAACACTTCAGATGTTTGATAATAAAATCTTAAAGAATTTCGGTCTGGAAGGCATGGAGTCGCTAGTCTGAGCCAATTAACTTGAAATCAAACCGTACGTTATAAAATTTGACTAAAACATTATTTGCACTTACAATTTCAGTAAGGCATATTTATTATAATTACATGTAGATGACAGATGTAAAACAACAATTGAATAGCTATATTTAATTATTCCTGAAAAGTAGGTCAAACTTCAAGGTCACGGGGTCAAACATAAAATTAAATCATATAATATTTCGAAGGATCTTGCCACAAGAAATATTCATGTATAATATGAAAGCCCTATCTTTTCTCTTTCAAAAGTCCTGACTAATTGAAAGTAATATTCGATTTTTTGAAAACTGTGTCAAATCATAAAATGTCATTTAAAACAAAATTATTATTTTAATAAAGGAGATAAGTTTAATAATTTTCTATTCACAGCTCGACGAATCTTCTTTTAAACATTTTTATGTTAAAATAAGTAGCAAGAAGGATGGCGAAGGAAAAAAAACTAATAGTATTTAAAAGAAAAAAGGTGAAGAATGATTAAGATCTAGAATAGAAACAAATTAATATCATACCGTATAAGTAGAATTTTTACCGAGGATCTAATTTTGGTATTATTAGCGAGGATCAAATCTGATAGGAAGAAATCTCTTAAAATTTGCGGTAACAAGGAAAATGTGTAATAATTTTTTGTTTAATGATTTGAATTTGATAATTTAATCCAGTTACACATTCAATTTTCATTTTGATTTTAAATCAATTGAATAATCACTAATATTTTAAAAGAGTTAGCCTTCCTGGCCGAGGACCATATACATGTATCCTTAACAATTAAGCTAGCTATATATTTCGTTCAAGGTGAGTTAAAGAAACTACATAAAACTACCAAACAAATACAAATTAGAAGCCAACATAGCACAAACTGCCACCATGGCAAATGTTATATCTAGACAGTATGCAATAGCTGTCCAGTCTTTCTTTTGTGCCCAGATTTTGGGATCACAACAGTTTACTTTCTCGATTTCCTGGACCTCTCGTTTCTCTGGTTTCTCTCGGGTGTACGTATACTGGCTTATGATCACAAAAACTTGAACAACACATCCAATGCAAAGATCAGCAAAAAGTTTTATTGCCAATACAGAAATAGCAGGTTCCGATGATTTTGGAATTTGTTCACTTACTATGGTCAAGTACACAGCTATTGAGAGAAGAATGGTGACAGAGAAACTAACCCTATCTCCAGAATTCTCCGGTAAAAGAAAGACAAACATCTGAAGAATCTCCATTAAAATGATAGGCATGATCAAAAAAAGTACGTAATACGTAGAGCGTCGACTTATCTTGAACTCCATCCTAACCCTTTGGAATGCTGAATTTTCCTTTATAAGAATATTTTGACTTATTCTAGTGTCTTCCATATTCCATTGGTTGTTTATTTCATAGAGTTCCATATTTACAGTGTCGTATAATGGATGTAGAACAACTTCATTCCTGTAGTAACCCCATAAAATTAAATCTATCGAACAATTTTGTGTGTCAAAGGGGAAATAAGTGTAGTCTGCTTTGCATTCTGAAGCAAATAAATCTCCTTTTAGCATGACTGCCGAACCGTTTTGCAAAACCATGACTGTTTCATCGTAAATTTTTTCAACCTCAGATCGAGTGTGTGGGTTAGCAAGTTAAACCTGCGGAGTCCAGACTTCTGAGTTCTTAAAATATATTGTTTGAATATCAGGCGATTTATGCGACGAGTTTGCCCACTTCAGAGCAATTCTTGGATCTACCCAAGCCATTTCTAGGAACCCACTTATTGTAAATTTTCCCGTCTTGTCGTCAAAAGATATCAGTTGGAAGGCATTAAAATTAATATTCATATCTGTTAATGCATCATTTGGAGGAAAACTTTTCGCATAGCTTTGAAGAATATCTTTGTGAAGATTGTACCTCGATGCTGATGTAAGGACACACATTTTCATTATGATTATGATATTGACACAAAAATCCATAGCAATGTCTGCAAAATAAATAATCTAATATTTATTTACATGAGAACAACACATTGCTTATTTTTAATGCATTTATGAATTGTTTCTTTTTCTCTCATGTTAAGTTTAAATTGATTATACGTTATTCATTTTGTCTAATTTCATTGCATATCTCAATTCGGTGACATTGTCAAGTCCAGCTCGCTTTAAACAAAACTTAAATAACGATTAAGATTTGGTTAAGTTTTTTTTCAAATAAAATTCAATGAAGGTTTCATGGAACACAAAAACTATCGCTCCAAAGGTTAAACCTATCGCCCGACGCCACACCACGAGCGTCTGGAATGTAATATTGATGCTCAATTTTTCCTTGGTCTGAAACTAAAGGGTCAAAGCTAGTCTGACAAATTTTTGCAAGCTGTATTACGTTTTCGAGTTGTACCAAATACTGTAACGTATACATGTAGTTACACGCATGTAAAACGCACATAATACATTCGTGTATTCCAACTGCACTTTACACGTAAGTGGTACAACGTAGGGATTTTGATGTCTAATTAAAATTTTTAATGTACCTAGGAAACTTCTGTTAAATCTGTAAGTTAACTTAAAAAGTTAAATAAGCTTTAACTGTTATACACCATTGTGAATACGATAGATAGAAAAACTTTACCTTCGAGGTTGCGCCGCCAGGATATATCATTGCTTTTAAAAACATCATTGATTTGTTTTAAGAAAAAAGTAACTATGTATCGTTTATTAAATAAATGAATAAATATTGTGGAGTCACATTAGGTATAATTGTTATGCCAGTGTTATATAAATATAAATACTATTAATTGTAGTCATTATTAATGCTATCGATTTATCAAAGTTTGTGATCAGCTGATTTCGTAGTATTTTGTGTTGTTATACGACCCCTCAGTTAATATGCTCGGTGTTTTTGTTATAACAGGTTGTAAACGAAATGTTCATGACTTAATGCATTGTTGTTTCTAGCTTATTTACTTTGTACAAGTTATTGTTAAACTAGTGTTGCAAGGATATGGTTTAATACCATTGATATGTCATGTAAATAACAGAGTTTAAAAGTTCTATTTACCTTCGTCACATGTATACTGCCATTTTACCGGAACTGATGTATGGCGCTAATGTAGTAATTTATGCATTTGACCCCAGGTCACTAGCTGTTGTATTTTCGTCTGGCGGTCTATTTGAATGTATATTGTGATTTCTTCCGGGTTTTGATATTCATTTCAGTGACGAAGATTCTTTGTACTAGAATGATTATACTTATGTTATTTTATTTATAATTAAAGTTATATTTATTATTTTAATTGGAAGCACCGGTAGTGTCTCCGGTGGTTTCCATTCTTGCGCGTGTGTTTCTCCGGTGGAGGAATCTGTGTATAAATACAGCCGGTATATTTTCTCCGGTACTTTCCAGATTTTGTTTTGAGCTAGTAGGACGTATAAATTTTATTGAAGTAAGTTTAAGGAAATAGAAGGTTATTCTTTCTATCTTTAGGTATAGGTAATTTAATTAACGGGTTAATCCCTTAATTAATTACCTAATTAGCGTAAATTAACGAAATTATCAGTTTTTACAGAAGTAGGGCTAGGAATTTGTGTATTTAATTAATGGGTCAATCCCTTAATTAATTACCATCTTAAATCAAGTTGAAATAGAACTAGGAACTATTTATTTTTATAAAAGTCAACTTACAATAATTTTCTAGATAATTTAGAGATTATTTCTCTAATTACTGGACTTCGTGGATAATTATTGAGATCTCCTGATTATTTTAAGAGACTCTTCATAATTCTTGAGGCATAGGAGTATAATTTCGTTTATTCTTACATATATATCAAGGGTTATTCCCAGGATATATTCTCTAGATAAGTAAAACCCCTATTTACATAGTAAGAAACAATATTGAACAAAGCCAAGGTTGTATTGTTTTATAGCAAAGTTAATCTTTGTTTGTTATGTTAATATGTGTTGTGTATCTATATGAACAATAAACCTGTAAACTGGAAGTACATTTATTTATTAAATTAGCTGGAAAGTCAGTCTGGTTATTCTGGACTTAAAACAAATCCTGACAAAATAAAATAAAACATCCTGACAAAACTTCTGAAAATTAGATCCCAATAAAATAAGCCCTACCCCTAGAGAGCGCCACAGTATTTTTGGTGTCAGAAGTGGGATCTGTTTTTCCAATAGCAGATCCAGTGATTCGAACCTCATAAACCTTGATTATTTTAAGGTCCTAAGAAAATGTTCACTAGGGGAAGAGCCAGGAATGATGCTTCAGCTAGCAGTACGGACGATGAAAGCATAAAAGCTCTGAATGCAGAGCATGATGATGAAACTAAAAGTCAAGCTATGGGAGAAAGTACACAGAAGTTACCAGTACATGCACACATACAAGAGTTTAATACTCTTGAAGTGTTTGATATGAGTGCTACAGATGAAAGCACAGACGAAGATGATGAAGGGAAGATAACTCCTTCTACAGTGCGTCAGAATAAAGTGACTACCAGTGATCTACCAAACAGGAACTTGTCTGGCCACAGAAACAGTCCAAGATATAATATGACTGGAAATCCGGTCATTCACCAAATGGCGAACCAATTACCTGGTATAAATACTTGCACAATGGATTCTCTCCTCGATGAACGGAGCATGGGTCAGAGTACTATGGGTGAGCCCTGTATTCTACCCAATAGGCCCGATGAAGGTCGGAATGATCTCATGGACACAATAAAGTCCTTCATGATTACCAAGACATCCACGGTGAAATCCATGCAGTCTGTTTTGGACGCAGCCGTCAAAACTATGACACAACAGACAGGAGGGGAAAGGTTAATAAATCAAACGGAAAGTTCAAATACAGTCAGCCACCATGGTACCCAGTCAAACCAGACGAACCTGACCCAAGTCAATGGCAGAGAACAGATGGCAAGTCGTACACACAGCACTCAAAGAATGAATAACCAGCAGCTGTGTGCACAAAAGGCATCATAAAAGCACTATTCAGAGAGAAACAAGTGGTTCGGAGGATGAGTCGATGGATGATCACAACTCTGATGAATCTACAGTATCTACAAACAAGTTATTCAAAGCTAACATTAAAGAATCTTCCAAGCTACCAGTTTTTACAGGTAAAGAGAACTGGGCAGTATGGCATACAAGGTTTGAAGCCGTAGCTGAACTTAGTGGATGGGATGATGAGGAAAGACTACGTCAACTTTTACCTAGAATTCAAGGACTTGCAGCAGATTTTACTTATGGTCAACTGAAGGCGACAACTCTTAAGAACTACAGACAGCTTGTTAAAGAATTAAAGATTCGCTTTGGAGAAATAGAATCCTGTAAAAGCTACAGAACAAAATTCAACTATAGAAAGCAATTGAAATACGAGTCTCCAGAAGAATTTGCAGCAGAGCTCAAGAGGTTATATGACAAGGCACATCCTTCAAGAGATGCTAAGACTAGGCAGGAAGACTTAGTATCACATTTTCTGGCTGGTCTCACAGACAACCAAGCTCGCATATATGTAGAGCTTAATAAAGATCCGCAGATGATAGATGAGGCTGTTCTTTACGTCATACAATATAATGAAGTAATAGGATACAAGACCTTGAATCGCAATGATGTAGACAGTCCTAACAGTGGTCAAAATAAGGAGAGTACAGCTCCCAGAGGAAGGCAGTAATGGGGTCAATCAAGACAAAGGAATAGACAGACCAGATACAAAGAGGGGAAAATATGACAAAACCATGGGGAAATAAGACCACAAACTGCAGAAGGACAAAACTACATGTCAGATATAAAACAACGTGACTGGACAGAAAATCTGTTTCACTTGCCACAAACCAGGTCACTTCAGCAGGGATTGTCCAAACAAAACATGGAATAAAAACCATCATGAAGGTTCACAAAAACAGAAACTTAACCCAAGAGCTGAAGAATTCAAGCAGAGGCAGGTAACAACAGAGAATCAAACTGAGGAAGTCAGCAGTACTTTAAATGGCAGAGGGTTAACTCTGCAGGCCTAGAGGAGACCCAGATAACGGAAGAAAATGGTCTACTGGACAAGCAACCAGAGGTAGTCACGAGGAGGGAGAGGACATTTAATGATGGGTTCTATATACCCGGAAAAATTGAAAATGTTGATGTTATGTTTACTACAGATACTGGAGCATCCAGAACTTTGATATCAGATGAGACATATGGGAAGATTTTGGAGGATACAAGACCAAAGTTAGTACCAGCTGCACCACTGAAGAGTGCAGATGACTCAAAGATA